ACTCCCGAGGGGAGATTTTATTTTGGAAGGAGAAACTGGACATGGCTAGAATTTTTCTGACTTGGACTGAAACAGACAGAAGTTACCTGAAAAACACCTACTCATCAATGACTGGTAAGCGAGCCGACATCAGTTCCCTGACTGATCGGAGGCGAGCCAGCTCCTACCCCGAGGGTGCCTTAAGAAGTCATCACCAGGTAAAGCTGATGTGTTCGGAGTGACGTGTCATGTGGAACCTGAGCTTAGAAAAGATGTGCAGTTCCGGTTGACCCACACTTTGATAAAGTAAACGTCGTAGTAACATACTAATCTTACTTTCCTTCTTTCCTTGTTCTTAATTGCCAAAACTTAAGCTAAAAGTGCCAGTAAAATTGTTTGGTTATTAACATCAGAACTGACGTTTTACTGTTCTATATAAGTAATCTGAGTTGATGTGAGTTGAAATTCGGACGCTGGTTTTATCTCATTAACTCTGACGCTTGTTATAGGAATAACCACAATCAAGTGTAACTTATGACCTGTTCAATTTGTGTAAATAAATGATTGCATAGCCTTCTATGAATTAACTTGAACTTGTCTGAACGTTCACTTATCGTGTCACTTTTCACTTCACACAATCAAGATATTAACAAGTAATGAGAAATACCTTGGTAAAAGTTTCCTCATAACCTTGTGTATGAGAGATGTGGGAAAAGCTTAATTCACCTTAAGCTCACCTCCTACATTTTGAATGAAACGGCTCTCCATATTTAAGAGCAGAACCTTTCAGAACAGGTCAGACTGAACCCACCTGGTGGCTCCAGGGCCGCCCTGCAGGTGCGTCTCCACATGCAACCTCATCTCTGCCTCCTGGTTGGTGGAGTGCTCGCACCTGCAGCAGTGCAGTGAGAACAAGCTGTGCTCCCATTGGCGGTGTTCCATCATGTGACTCTGGAAGAGGGCGTGGCCTTCGGTCTCAAAGCCGCAGACGTGACACCTGAAGAAGAACACAGAGTGGTTTGAGAGCCCTGAACAGCAAACAGGAAGAAGAATCGTGTTTGTGTTTTACCTGAAGAAGTAAGAGGAACTTGTGGTTTTGTCTCTGCTGAGGCTGGTTTGTGTTTCTGTGGAGAGAAATATTTCAAAAAAGGAAAGTGTTTATAATTCTTCTAAGTGATTTATGACACAGATCAACTAACAATGACTCCATGAAGAGGCTGTTGTTGTTAAACTTCTTCCTGGATTCACACCAGCTCATTTAGTTTCACTAACATTTTTGTTTTGAACCCAAAGGGCAACATGGCAGCAGCATAAATCCAAAACCAAAACTGAAGACGGTCATTAAAAACTAATAATGTTACAAACAGGATGAGCAATAAAAAACGCTGCAGGCACTAAAAGCGCAAATTCCCTCAGAGTTCTTCAGAAGGTGTCAGTTTGTTCTGGTCCGATGTCACAAACGATGAGAATTACCGGATCAACGTGTTTGAACTTCCATCACTTCAGATTTCACATGAGAGCAGAGTGTGAAAAACATCTGCAGGCTTCAGGAGGTCAACCTTCAGCTGAACTCACATGCAGGTCGCTCGCCCACCTCTCCCTCCTGAGTGACCCCAGTGAGCGGCTCACCAAGCTGGAGCCTAGTTCTTCAGTGATGGTAGGATGGATCACAATGAACCCACGGATTGGGGTCTCCAGATTAGCTTTAGCACCAAATTAGCATTAGCTCCACATTACAGGTTGGCATTGCATTAGCATTACCTCTGCGTAAGTGTCAACTCCAAATTAGCGTCAGCACATCGTTAGCATTAACTCTGCTTTAGTGTTAGCTCTGCATTAGGCAGGGCTGTGTATTGGAAAGAAATTGGTGATAATTATCACGATATGATATATTGCGATACTGTTAGCGAGGCGATATATTGTCATTTTTTTCTCCAAAAGATTCTAGTTTTAAAAAAGTCAGCTCAAATAACTGAGTTTTTAAAAATTGGAATCTGGCAATATAATGACTTTCTGATATATCATTTATGATATATCGCGATATATCGCAATATCGCTAACATTTGAGCTAGCATTATATCCTCCGGTTTGGAGTAGCCAAAAGGCTGAATGACTGCTGCCAACTGCACTGTATCAATATTTTCTTACATCCATAGCATTAGGTCTGTGTTAGCATTAGCTCTCCACATTATTATTACCTTTGCATTAGTGTTAGTTCCATGTTAGCAATAGGTCCGTGTTAATCTTAAATCTGCATTAGCTCCACATTATCGTTATTTTTGCATTAGTGTTAGTTCCGCATTAGCATTGGGTTCATGATAGTGTTAGCTTTTCATTAGCTCCACACTATTACCTTTGTGTTAGTGTTAGTTACGCGTTAGCATTAGATCCGTGTTAGTGTTAGCTCTGCATTAGCTCCACATTATCATTATTTTTGTGTTAATGTTAGTTCCGCATTAGCATTAGAATAAAAAGTTTTGTGCTACTTTCCGCCATTCCACCACAAAGGCAGGCTTGAAATGTTGAACATTTCAGTGGGAAATGAAAAAACTTCTCACATGAGAATTTTTTTCAAGAACAGAAATCTAGTCGTCTTTCAGGCCCATCTAGAGTTAAAATTTAGAGTTTTTAAATGTAATTTTTGTTTTTTTATGAATGAAACAAATTAATTAATAAAAAAAAGCGCAGCTGAATCTTCCTCAATGTGTTGGTTTTCGCTCCAAGTTGATCCGTATGAATATTTCAGGCTGTCGGCTGGTTTTTTTCCTCCACTCTGACAGACTTGTCGCGTCTCATTCCGTCATGTTCCAGCAGGTAAAGCCATCACTGACGAACACTGACTCTGACTGTAATTAAAGGAAAACAGCCTCATGAGACGTTATCAGCATCCAGAGATCTACGCCTCCTCCTACAGAACCGGAGCAGCTGAGTCTCTGTTTCTGTGTTCTGATCCGAATCTCAAATAAAACGCTTTATTCACCAAATGTTTATTCCATCTTTCACTTATTATAATCACAAACATCAGAACCTCGTGTGAGAAAATACCACACGCTGCAGCAGAGGTCTTTAAGAAGAAAAAGGAAGTTAAATTAAATTAAATTAAATCAAATCACGGCTTCTTGAATAAAAACAAGTGAAAGATTGATTTTCGTTACTGGATGAGCAGCTCCTGGTCCACCTGCTGCAGTCTCAACACCTCAGAATTGTTTTATGATGCGTGTCTTTATGTCGAGTCTTTAAGACATTTTCCATTAGCTTCGGGTGGCCTGACTAGATCCTTACCAAGCTTGACTCGATTTGACTCGACCTGACTCAGCCTGACTCATCCTGACTCGATTTGATTTAGCCTGACTTGATCTGACTCAACCTAACTTGACCGGACTTGATTTAACTTAACCTGACTCAGCCTGATTTGGCCTGACTTGATTTGACTGGATTTGACCTGCCTCAACTCGATCTGACTCAGGTGACTTGATTTGACTAGCCTTGATTTGATCTGATTCAATTTAAATTAACCTGACTTGATGAGACTCAACCTGACTCTATTTGACTCAGCCTGACATGATCTGACTCAAGTGGACTCGATTTAACTTCATCTGACTCAACCTGACTCAGCCTGATTTCGCCTGACTTGATTTGACTGGATTTGACATGCCTCAACTCGATCTGACTCGATTTAATCTGCCGCGACTCAATCTGACACAGTTTGACTTGATTTGACTAGCCTCAATTTGATCTGACTCAATTTAAATTAATGTGACTCGATGTGACTCGACCTGACTCAGCCTGACTCGATTTGACTTGACCTGACACAGCCTGACTTGAGATGACTCAACCTGACTCGACTGGACTCGATTTAACTTAACCTGACTCAACCCGTCTCAGCCTCACTCGACCTGACACAACTTGATTTCATCGAACTCGATTTGACTCAACCTGAATCAGGTCGACTCATATTGACTTGATCTGATTCGGGTTGAGTCAGCCTAACTTTACCTGACTCAACAGGTCTTGACCTGACTTGTGCAACCTCAGCTTGACTCAACCTGATTCGAGTCGACTCGGCTCGACTCGAGCTGACCCTGACTCAGGCCGACACAATCTGAATTGGCTCAACTTGACCCGAGTCAGGTCGACTCAGCTTGACTCAACCTGGCTCAGGTCGACTCAGCCTGAATCAGGTTGACTCACATGGACTCAGCCTGACTTAAGTTGACTTGACCTGACTTGAGTTGACTCGACCTGACTCAGGTCAACTAAGCTTGACTCAACCTGACTTATGTCGACTCAACCTTAATCAGGTCGACTCATATGGACTCGACCTGACTCGGGTGGACTCGACCTGACTTGTGTTGAATGAATGGTGGTGATTTACCGTACGGAGGTTCTCGGGGGGTCAGCAGAGGGCAGGAGTGTAGTTGGTCCATATTCACCTTCAGAACAGGACTGTGAAGAAGAAACACAGATTTAAGATCAAATGCAAACAGGGGGGTCCAGTCCTGGTCCAGCAGGTTTTACCTGTTCCTTTGCTCCAACACCTCCGATTCAATCACTAAATCACCTGTTCAGGTTCTGTAAAAGCCTGTTAATCATTCATTCAATCAGGTGTTGGAGCAGAGAAACCTCTAAAACATGCAGGACCCCCTCCAGGACCAGGACTGGACACCCCTGATCTAAACGTCCAGATGAGGTTAATTGACGACAGGAAGTGGAGCTGCTACCTGCTTCTGATGGGCGGAGTCTTCCTCTCCATCTGCTGACTGTTGGACTTACTGACCCTCTCTGTCGACACAAACAGCACAAACGTAGATTCAGAGTCTGGACTGAGTCTAAATGTGGTGGGTTTTTATTAAACATCAACTTCCTGGGTTCAAACAAGCTGTTTTGACCTTATAAAATGATGTTTGTGCTCCTTTAGAGCTGTGTATTGGCAAGACATCGATGATAAGATATATATCTCAAAAAGGGCCATGATTTATCACAATATATCGCGATACTGTAAGTAAGACAATACATTGTCATTTTTTCCTCCAAGTGATTCTAATAAAAACAAATCAGCTCAACTCAGTTTGTTTAAATAAGAAATATTTGGTGAAAAAATAGCAGTGTTTTGCCTTGCTTACAGTATTGCAATATATCGTAATATATGATAAACGATATATCATAAATGGTATATGATACAAATATATGATAAACGATGTATGATAAACTATATATGATAAACAATATATGATAATATACCATAAACGATATACAGTATCATAAACACTATATGATAAATGATATGATAAACAATATATCATAAATGATATATAATAAACAATATATGATAAATAGATAACCAGTATATCATAAACAATACATCATAGACGATATATGATAAATAATATATGATACACTATATATCATAATTAATAGATGATTAACAATATATGATACACAATATACGATAAACGATATATCATAAATGATATATGACAAATGACAAATCATAAATGATATATGATAAATGATATATCATAAACGATATATGATAAACAATACTTGATAACCAGTATATCATATACAATACATCATAGACGATATATGATAAATAATATATGATACACTATTTATCATAATTGATACATTATTAACAATTTATGACACACCATACATGGTAAACGATATATCATAAACGATATATGATAAACAATATATGATAAACGACATATCATAATTAATACATGATTAACAATATATGGTACATAATATATGATAAACAATCTATGATAATCAGTATATCATAAACAATACATCATAGACGATATGATAAATGTTATATGATAAACGCTATATGATAAACAATATATGATAAACAATATATCATAATTAATACATGATTAACAATATATGATACACAATATATGATAAAAGATATATGATAAATGATATATCATAAACAATATATCATAAACTCAAACTAATGTTTGATTATACTCTGGCTAACTGCTGCCAACTCGTGGTTTGAGGCTAAAATAAAACACAAAAATGAACCGCTGGCATTGGTTTGACATTTTAATCTTAATGAAAAATCGATACAGTGTTGCGATATTTTAGTGTATTAATACTTTCTTACACCCCTAATAAAAATCCCATAATATAATCTATAGACAGCTCAGCTCTCAGGGACCAGGTGCACCCGAAGTCTGGTTAGAGTTAGAATGACAGGAAGAGGTCGTTCAGGTGTTATTTATTACCTGAGAGCTGGTGCAGCAGTGTGGAGGCCAGGTTCACCGACATGTCCTGCCACAGCACCGCTCGGAGGCACTGCTCCTCCATGTTGGCCCCAAAGAAGAGCTGCTCCTCCATCTTGACTCCGGTGAAAACCTGAGCCGCCATCTTGGCTCCAGACATGAACCCGTTCTCCACGACGAGGTCTTCCTTCTTCACTTCAGAGAAAAACTTGTTGATGTTAACGTCAGGAAAAGGCAGCTCTGCAGTTTTTGCTTTAATGGGATGGCTGTCCTCCATCTTGGCTCCAGTGAAGAGGTGATGGCTCAGTTCTGAGATATCGTGATCCTCCAGTTTCACTCGAAACTGGGGGTTGTTGGCTCTGTTGGCTGTTGTCTTCGAGGCGGGATGACAGACCGTTTGAAGACCAAGAAGACACTCATCGACTACTTTAGCTCCTGTTGTGTTCCCAGTCAGGTTCTGGTCTTCTGTTTTAACAGTGAACAGGTGGTGGCTGGTCATCCTGAGGGCGGGATGAGAAATCTCCTCTGAGGGTGGCTGATTGTGTGTCACCAGGTTGACTTCCACTGGCTCTTCTTCCTCTTTGAGCCTCAACACGTGGCCGTTTACTTCCTGTCGCTCTGTAACATGTGGGAACAACAGAACACGGAGGATTTACTTTAGCTTTTATTCTTGTTCTGAACTTGGTAAACACAAAGAGAAAGACTCAAAGTTAAAGAAAAGCACCTGCAAGTTTCCGGAGCAGGTCTGAGGCCAGCGTGTCCGTGGCTGTGTTCCCGTCAGGTGTGTGCGTCAGCGACGGCGGCTCGGGGCTCGCTCCGGGGCCGTCCGGTGAGAGGGCGACGCCGGGTTCATCCTGCTGCTCCGCCTCCTCTCGGCTCCCTGGATGCACCCGGGCCTTCTGAGTGGCCTCTGAAGGGAATATGAGTGAGTGAAGTGTTCAGAAGGGCTCAGATTACAGCCTAACAACAGAACAACCTGCTGAAGGAGAAGGTCTGAAGGCAGCACAACCAAAGAAAGGTCTGTGGAGTTTTTCTGACCACAGGCATAAATCTGTGGCTCTAACAGCCACTCTGCTGCTCTCAGAGTCATTGGGCCTCATGCAAGAACCGTTCGTACACACAGATTTGTTCTTAAGTTGTGTGTACGAGTGATTTAGGAGAATTTGTGGCATTCACCAATGTTTTCGTATTCTACGATTTTTTTCAGATACGAACAAAATTCAGGAGTGGTCCAGACC